CCTTGGTTTGAAACTACGCGTTTGTGGCATAAATATATCTTGTATTTATATCCCAGGGTACTAAAACAGCGTAAACATAAGCTTTATTTTTTCTGCTGACAATTATTTATAGCGAATTCACAAAACAAGTCGAAGCCGTTATATTAGATAGGTTAGGTGGTATTATAGACATACGTGGCTGGGAAAATGTCGTCTGCGTCAGGTATTGTGTTGTCTCCTTCGGCAAAAGTGACAAAATTGGGGAAGCATGTCAAGCTTTGCGCGATGCAAGTTTGTTGTTACAACAAGCGACTGATGCTGAAGTATCTCGGACAGTACGCTGTCGCATCGACCTACGCGGCGCGTCGGTCGATACTGTCGCTGTACTGTCTTCGTGCATATTTTGACGTATCTTCGTAATAACCTTATATTATTGGACTCGTCGTCGATGGAAAATATGCAAATACCTGAAAAGATCCCATAGCGAGTCAATAAAATGAAACGTTTCAAAATAAAAATAGGATTTTTAGTTTCGACGTTCATTTCAAAATTCTAAATGTCGCCACTACAGATATAATTTCGAAAATCACAGCTGAAATCTATACTGTGACTTCTTACCGCTAATTCATCAATTGAAAAAACAAAATATTAGACTCCAGGAAAATATTCACTTGGTCGTCATTAGCAACGTTCCAAATTCATTCACGAGCTGCTAAGAAACACCAACGGACAAATTTAGCTAAATTGTGTTAGTATTGTTGATTTTGAAAATATGGTTAACTTTTAAATCAAATTACTTACATATGATTTATAGTAGAAATCACCCCAAAACGGGAATCCTGTTTTATACTCTATTGTCTCCGACACTTTATCAAATTCAGAAGATACTGATTTGTCATAGGTTATAGTCAACTCTTCATCTCCTTCTACTGGACCGTAAGCAAACAGTATAATTTCTGAAAAAAAGAGCAAAATTACTGTAGCTGAAAGAAAATATTTAACAAATACATCTAGATAGCATGAATATTAGGGAAATGTTTTCGTATAAAACTTTCTCAGTATGTTAGATTAAAAACCTTATTTAAAGGGCGGTAGTCGTCGCCCCACGCATGCGAGAGATATATGGTTCTCATATAAACAAAGATGGCGACTTTGACAGTTGCGCAAATCAAGGAGTACAAACTGAGGCGTTACCAAGCTTTAATTATGTTTTTAGGTGACTGAAGGTTTTGAAGGAGTCACCGGCGGTAATTAATGCAAGTTGCACCCAGGTCAAACCTTATACTTGGGTTTTTATGTTGAAAGAGCGCATTGGATTGTGGGAAAATCATTGTTTATCAACACAAATGTCGCACATGCGTAGCGCGACGACCATCGACCCTTTAATAAAAAAACAAGAGACATTTCCCTACGTACTAATGGCCCTACTAAGAAGATACCACTGCACACAATCTGCAGATATTGCGATACATATTACGTAGGCGTCGCGATGTAGACTGAACATATAG